TATCATTACCATCTAAGGTCTTCTGGTCTTTACTAATTTAATGTGAGTTTAAGTTCACTTTATGTGGGTGTTTTGTTGTTTCCTATTTGTTTCTTGTTTATCAACCTTTTTTGGAGCTATTTCAACAAAATATTGTTTGTATATATACTTTGCATGGGTATTTTTTTCTTTCATTTCATCTTCGTGTATTTCACTTAAATTTACTATTGGCTGCTTGATTGTACAGTAGTTGGTTTAGAATTGGTCTGAATTCACAAAAGACACGTGTAATTATGTAGGCCTATGTGTAAACGTAGTGTATTTACTTTAGTCATAAAGTCTACATAGGTGTAGAATAGAGTTTCAACGTTTACTTACAACTTTAGACAAAGTTAACCAACTTTCACACTTACTGTCATGTAACTAAGTTATGCCACATTATTTGCATTACCTCTTGTACAGCTTTTAAAGTTAAACATTTTGCTACAACCTCTCATTAATAAGTATATTTTCTAGTTTTAGTGGAGGTATACATATTTCAATTATAGCCTGGAAAAATATTACCAAAGAATAAGAATGATTTAGATTTTAAACTTGTTATATTATTTAAATTGTAACCAAGTCCTCTAAATCCATGTTATTGTTCAAAGCCTATATACATCGGTACATAATAATAAGATTTATTTTATTTTTCATCACCTACTCGTACAAAAAACCTTAACCCCTCCCATTTACCCGATCGTTAAAAATGAGGGGTTTAAGTCCCACCTTCTTCACATACTAGAACGGACTCTAGCTCAGGATCGTTTTTCACGTTACTTTATGACTTAAATTAAATCAATTAGCGATTGTCAGGATTTGAACCCGATAACTCCAGAACCAAAGTCACACGCTCTACTAGCCTAAAACAATATTCTATTGTTTTCACCCATTTCCACTTTCAAAGCCAAGAGACACCGGCTTAGTGATTCCTAATCAAGACTAAGGGGGGGACGCTCCTTACATAATTCATATCAACTCTTATCACACTCGAAATCCTTTCCTGTGACGGGATTTAAGCATCAACAAAAGCTCTTCTTGATTACGAGGGAGAGTTGATGATTTATTAAAGACCAAGACGCGCCAAAACACGACAAAACACTACCTTGTCATTTAATGTGGGGTGCACTAGGTTAAATAAGACTGTTGATTTTGTAATCGATTGATTTAAATATCGTTAACGCCATGGTAAAGTCATTACTACAATTAACGAGGTTATGTGTAGTTTGAAACATAAAATATTAGGAAAACTAGTTCTTTGTTATGTTTTTGTACAAAATAAAAGCAAGTTCATCATTTTATCACTTCACATTTTTATATTTGTCATGGTTATTGCATTTCTTGGACCTTGTTTTCATATGTTACTTGTATGTGTTGCAAGTGATGTAAAATCGTTTTCAAAATAATTCATCTGTGGTCTGATCGACCAAAAATATAAGTTTTAAATACTTGTCTGAATTTCAAAAGAATGGGTTTGCACTTAATTTCCTATTTCTACGATTAAACTAATAAGAAAATATTGTACGGGGTTTTCATAGTATTCTTATGTACTAGCATTTAAAAATTATGTGTAAACATTGTGTTAGCAAACAAATAGTTACACAAAAACTGTTAAGCAGTCCGCTTTTAAAATCTAGAATCAAAGTGCCATGCAATTTGTATTTTTGTGTGCTTTAAATTTGATACGTACAATTTTCATTCAGTGGCTAGTATTTAAGACATTATAACTTTGAAAAAATTACAGGGCCTATTTCTTGAAATGTTGATTATTAAACTTCCTAGGTTCTTAACCAATTTTCACCATCAAAAATTCGATAAATTACGAACCAAAGCTATCACATTTATTAGCATTTTCATTTACACTTAGCTTTCTGTTTAATATAAGGTAACACGTAGACCCACCATTACAAAAAATGATGTTTCCGACACAGCTGCGTGATAACAGAAAGTGTTGTAGTGTTGTAACAGTTGACGCTGCCCTATTGGGAGGTGGACTATGTATTGTCGGGTTATCAGGGGCAAATGACACCGTTTGACATCCAGACCTGCGGTTCTGGGAAATCTTCATACGTCAATGGATCATCCGCTACAGGCGTGACAGAACACAATATGCGACCGTCTTGCGTAACACCCTGTAGTGCGGCGGACATAGGAACTAATAGTATACTTGGTTCTTAGGGGAAGAAATCTACGCCCCCTACTTGACCCTTACCTTAAAATAATAGCTCAACAGCTGAGTGGTGAGGGGACTTCCGCTTAAACCACTTAAATATTGTGAACGAAGTATAGGTACACAGGGCTGTATAGCATGGTAAAACGTTAAAAGTTAATATTAGGGGTATTAAACAAGGTAGGACCTGGTAGTCTTGTAAGGGTAGTCTGAGTAAAATTTAGCAAGGGTGGTATGAAATATCGGGTAGTAAAAACAGGGCGTTATGGAGCTCAATGTTTATCATTATATCCATTGTATGTCTTCCAAAAAACAAACAATTTTGTGTATTGAAGCATTGTTTTAAAATCAAAGGTTACGGGGAGAATACAAAAAAAAACTGTAAATAAAAAAAAGCTATGTTATTCTTATAGAAAAATAGTGAACTGTTGTAGTTTGTTTATGAATATATTTTTTTATCAAATTTGACAAATTTTACATTTCATCCTATAGGCAGTTGATAGTAATTAACACTTTTGCTCTTCCCCTTATTAGTAAACCTATGTTCTCGATAATCTACTATATGGGGAATAAATATGACTTATGGACATATTTTCGTCAAAAATACTATCAGACAAATTGAAATTAGCTTATTCTGCAGGTTTTATTGCTGTGGAGGTATTTGCACCCTACATTTTTCGAACATCATATGACTTCTGAACAAACATTCACAACCTCGACCCCCAAGTTTCCCCGACTTGACGCTTTCCCCGTGTCCCTCACACGCACTCAACAATGAGACAAGCACATAATTGGTCCGTTTGAACCCTATAATTCCCCAGTGACCGAGCAGGGTCACTTTGCGTGTTTCCCCTACCTGTTATTATATTATATTTATACCTCAATCGCTTGAAAGAATGGCCCACGTTCCCAAGATAAATTGCCTTTTCATAACCCACCTGCCGCAGTGTGCGGCGCGCGGCCGCCGCCTTGCTTCTGTCAAAATATTTTGATGCCCTTCCTTCGACAGTTGTTTGTGGTATGGTTTGTTTATGAACATTTTAATACGTATGTGGTTAGTTTGTGTGAACATTTATTAATCATTTTATATCCGGAGTTAAGTATCTTTCCTGTTCAATATTAAGTAAGGAGGTAAAACGTAATGAAGGGGTTTTTTGTTTGCACCTGGGGTGTTTGCTTGTTGATTACAATTATTTAATTGTTTTATATTTTGAGATACGTAAACGAAGAAACGATAAAAATAATTATATACGGTTTACGCCTTAACTGACAATTAATTACTAGTCCACCTAATGAAATAAGGCAGTTTCGATTTCCAGTATTATTCTAGTAAGTAAAAAACGAGTTATTAATTATCAAACAAAATTAAGTTACATAAATTTTGATGATAGTGTGCTTTATTTGGGTACACTGTGCTTCTACACGCATTTTTCTTCATTTTCCACACGAAATCGTATACAAAATCAAATATTTACAAACAACTAGAAAATACATGAGTTTTTTTTTCAACTTAATTCCTCGATATGAAGTACGATATAACCAAGCCAAAACTTCACAAGGATGAACTGTTATTAACTTAGCATTAGTCATAACGTGCTCTAAAACTAGCAAAATCCTATTTAACCAACTTCCAAAACGTACAACATTTTAAAACACATGTACGATTCCCAACTAGATCAATTTCAACAAAACCACCCAAGTATATCGGTCCATCAACAAAATTTTACACGTAACCGATCCGATGGTAAACGAATGAAATTACTGTGAGAATTCCGCGTTCTCGACATCTGTAAGTAACAATAGAAGTGTAGTGGTGAAGTGGTGAATTTGTGAAGTGGTGAAGTCGGAGCTTCGTTTGGAAACCGAACACCCCGGAGGCTCTTAACCCCTTCGCTAATGGTGATTCAATTTGACCAACGTGGCCAAACACTACGTGACCCTGGGGAGAATGTGATTGGGACGTGACAAACTGTCGGCGGTGGAAATTGTCGCGAGAGAAAACAATTGTATGACTTGTTTCGGGAAAAACATGTAGACAATTTCTCTGGACAGCGAAAAGTAGATTTAGACCTATACAAGTTTTTTACGATTGTGGAAAGTGCCAGTTAGGTTTTTTGAACCCATAATATTACACACTTTGCAGAAGTGATGGATATAACATTAAAATAAATATATTTCGATATTTTATCACTGCACTAACATCGTATTTCGTCGATACACCATTTAATGGACCAATAATGTGCTTATAGTTTAAACAAGGCAGAATAAATAATAAACAGTAAGCTTGTGTTTCTCATACAAGAGAATAATTGATACTGTGGCCAATTTCAGGCTTTTCTGTGGTAAAAAATTATTCTTTAAATATGTGTCATTATTTGGGCAAAGGAACTTTGAACAATTCAAGATAACTTCAGTTTGTACATGACATTTAATTGGATTAGTATATTTTAGTAAGCAGTTTGACCAAATGTTTCAACTTTATGCTACAATATAATCATTTTTCAATGTTCATTTAGGTTAACTTAAGTTATGTAATTATGTCATTTAATTTATGCTAGGTGATTAGGGTGGGCGTTACGTTAAATTATTCAAGGTTGTACTACAAAAACTACCTACTTATGTATATGTTAAGCTTAGGCAATGTACTTGTAAAAGAGGTAAAAACCAAATGGCTGTTGGAAATTGTCCCTTCAATCGGTTCAACCTTTAACTATAGTCATCCAATAGTCAACGGCTGAGCTCAAAAAAACATAAAACATGCTAAAAATGTATGTTCATCCTACAGCCTATAACTTAGTCAGGTTTAGTTTACCTGTAGTATGTAGCCTCGGGCGTAGTCCTCATGGCTCCAGCCGAAGCCCCGGAGCACTTGCAGGACCTCCTCGCGCTGCAGGACGCTGAAGAGTCTGTCCAGGAGGATCTTGAGTCTGATGGGGAGCGCTTGGCACCCGTAGAGGACGAGGGAGGCGATGTCAAAGGCGACGTTCGGCTGTACAGGCTCCACAGGACTCTGGCCGAACACGTGACGGAACCCGAGCTTGTCTAGAGCTGAAACAGAAACGAAACGTTAGTTTGCGGCTGAAAATAGGTAAACATTTATTTTTTCATAACATCAACACAAGGTTGCGTTTTGATGTTAATTTCAACGCCAGTGTCATTTTTTTAAGGACATTAAACACTTTTAAGGGAAAGCAGTTCAAGTTCCTCATATTATCTCGAATATGGTGGGGATCGAACCCGGTAGCTCTTGCACTGAAGGTCCGAAACTCCTACCACTATAGTCTGATGGAACCTGTCACGTGACCCTCTGTTCCTAGGGACTAGCCAATAGTTTAAGGCCTGGACCAGTCCCAGGAAACGAAGGTACCATCGTACAGACTATATACACAGCCATGCCTAAAAAAGCGTTTTTATTAAAAAAAATCTTCTCTACAGTGAATCGCCACTAAATGTTAAAAAAACGTCACTCGTATGGAATAATTTCTTATGAATATGAAAAATCCATAAACATATTTATATAAAAACGCATTATTGTTGGAACATATCTAAGCTAGGTGAGTTATCCCAGTCAAAAACTGCGAATTAGTCAGATTGCGTAGAATGTGAATATATAGACTTATCTTATTTCCTTTACACCAACAAGTGCAATTAATTCTACATAAACCAAAACAATGTCATAAATTTTTACTTGGCGATAAAACACAAAACCAACTGTATACGACCTCAAAAGCGTGTACGGCACTTGGTCGAAACACAAGTACACGTAAAAATTAGGGGTGACAGAGACAGAGGGCACTCGACGTATTAGACAAGTGTTTTGTAATATTTACAGGGTGTCACTCAATGATCGCATCAGTTGGACGTTCGTCATAACAAGACGATATCTGTTCAATCTTTCATACGACACTTTGACAAAGGTTCCGCCTTATATATTCATGAAGCCTTAATGTCGTTATGACCACTTCATCCACTTGATTAATCATTTGCGTTGAAGAGTTCGGACAACATTTACTACTCGTAATCAATTGATTAGTTTATTGATTAGAATTAATTGTGAGTTGATTAGACTAGGTTTTAAGGTGGTTTAGTAATAGTTGATTAAAATATTTTGAAGATTTTCTCTGGAGATGTTTAATTTGTGTGAAGATTCTGTGTAATTTTTTACCACGTGGTTATAAAAGTCAATGTTTCTTGTAGGTCAATCTATTTGTTCTTTGAATGAAAATAGTTTACTGTATTTGGATCAAATGTGAGCTCGGATTTTCCAATTCCGAAGTACTGTGTGGAAGAAAAAAGTTTGCCATACCCTAGTGAATAAAGAAACATAACTTTAATTATGATCGAAAGAACAAATACAATGAAGCAAAATTTAGTAATCTTGGTGTGATCAAAATTATGAAAAAAGTTTTAAAGTTATAGGTCTAGGTCTCTACCGTACCACATAAAGATCCTACTTTTCCTGGGTTTTAACGACGAATTTAACACGTAAAACATAAAATTTCAAAATCACACTCTACGCTACAACCATGACTTCCGCAGCAAATCATCCAGAAGCACGTAGATGCAAAACAAATCTTCCGAAATAAATTCGACGCTCACGTTCACTTTCGCAGCGTTTTCGCGATCGTATCGGCGTCGGCGATGGCGATAGCGTCTGTTAGCGTCGAATTAGCAATAACCGCCTGAGCGATGAGGGCGATCCGGCCGAATTCGAGCGGCTCCTCCTCCCCATAAAAGCGAATCGCCGCAGTTCGCAGTTACAGTCGATCGCATTGATTCCGGCGCGACCTTTGGTCGGAGCTACTTTCCATCGGGACCGGTTTGTGATTGTGGTTGTCAAAACCGATCTGCGCGAAAGTCGGTGTGAGGTCGCAGGCCAACGTGTCTGAAGAGACGAGTTGGTATAGTCTGTGTGATGGAACCTGTCTCCTGACAATGTCTACCTGGGACTGCACGGTGTGAGGTCGCAGGCCAACGTGTCTGAAGAGACGAGTTGGTATAGTCTGTGTGATGGAACCTGTCTCCTGACACTGTCTACCTGGGACTGCACGGTGTGAGGTCGCAGGCCAACGTGTCTGAAGAGACGAGTTGGTATAGTCTGTGTGATGGAACCTGTCTCCTGACAATGTCTACCTGGGACTGCACGGTGTGAGGTCGCAGGCCAACGTGTCTGAAGAGACGAGTTGGTATAGTCTGTGTGATGGAACCTGTCTCCTGACACTGTCTACCTGGGACTGCACGGTGTGAGGTCGCAGGCCAACGTGTCTGAAGAGACGAGTTGGTATAGTCTGTGTGATGGAACCTGTCTCCTGACACTGTCTACCTGGGACTGCACGGTGTGAGGTCGCAGGCCAACGTGTCTCAAGAGACGAGTTGGTATAGTCTGTGCGATGGAACCTGTCTCCTGTACAGGTCTACACAGGACTGTCCAGAGCATGTAGGCAGTTGCTAGTCTTCAGGTAGACTGAAGGTCAGGACACTGGTTCCATCATACAGAGTATAGTAATGTATTTGGATGTATGATGGGACTTTGTCTACCAAACAGCCATTGGCTGGTCCACAGGTAGCCCTCCAGCAAGAAGACCAGGTTCTATCATATAGAGTATAGTGGTTAAAACGTCAACATTTTGAACTGAAAGACGGCACAAGCCGGGGGTTCGATCCCGCTGATTACATTTTTTATTTCGTTGAAATGTCTGGACCTGGTTTTTCAAAGTCAACCAATCGTAGGTCCGTTTATCTATAGCACAAGTTGTATTTGCTTCAAGAGATGAAACCTTCTCTACATTTGAGGACTAAAATACAATATTCCCCCTGCACCTAAACAATAACAACATTAATTCAAACCCACTAGTAAAAAATCCATGCGAATAATCCTACCATTACTGCACCAAATGGATTTTCACAACAGCTGATAATCCCGTGTTAAAAACCTTCCTGTGAGCTTTCATTCCGCGAGGGAATTACATTTTTGGACGTCCGAGCGCAGTTGTGCCCAGTTGTTGATCATTTCGGCGTTGACTGTTGATTGATTTAGCTGTTTACTCCCACTAATCCGGCGATATGATTGGTTTATTGTTTGCGCATACATTTCGCCAGCCACTGCAGTGGAAACATTGATTAATAACCGGAAAAATATTACTGTCAAAACAATCCCGGATTATAGTGGGAACCTCACGTTTGTGTGGATTTTATTTGTGCGAGATCAACTCTATTATATTTCACAGTTTGGGAAGGTGTTTAACAATATTGTTTACTAGTTTTCGTGCTATATCTTAAATTTACTTACGTTTAAGTTCAAAGTTCGATTAAATATACAACAAAAACTGTATCTAGAGTGTTAAATTATTTGCATTATTATCACAGACAAATTACTAATTATTTTCAAAACACAAAGTATTATGAATCACAAATGTGTTTGGTATTACACTTTCCGGCTTAAGCAATACAACTACGTTCACAAAATTTAGCCGGTTTTATATTAGGAGAAGAAATCTATCCCCCACTTGATCCTGGCTTTAAAACAATAGTTTAACAGCTGACGTTTGCCAAAACGTCAATCAGCTGTAGCATATAAATTAAGCAAAAGAATATTAGAGAAACTTCCCATCATACCGCCTAAATTTTCTGAACGGATTTAAAATGTTTTTTAATTGTGGCTAAGATATTATAAACCAGGTCCAGGCCCATACGAATCAAAATTTCTATACTATTTGTAAATATATAATTTTTCAGCTTTTTAACCATCAGAAAACTGAACTGTCCTGATGATTTAATTGTAACTGCAAATCCTCTAGTGTGGATGATACAAATTCTACACAAAACCATTGCATAAACTGGTCTAAATAGTCCCAATATTTGGTTAATACGTTCAATATAGAACGTTGTGTGGATCCGTGATGATTGTACACGTATATTTGCGTAGTTTTGCTGTAAACAAAATGCTGCAATTCCAAACAAGAGAATTGTTTGCGTTTAGTTTCAGTTGCTGAAGGCAAACAGCCGAATGTAGATCGAAATTGGAATGACATTTAAAAATTGATATCGCATCACTGTTTGGAACCTAAAATCAGTGCCCTTTAACCTATCATATGTAGTAGTGGTGTAATAGATATTCAAGTTATCTTCGTGTACCTACCTGTCGTTAATATAGCTATAGTATAAATATAATTATCTTTACTCACTTACTTCATGTACAATATTGATATGTACTGTGTTATGTACACTGCATACAATAATAAATTAACTCCAACCTCTCTGGAAACGATTTATGACACATAGTTGTTATGTGTTAAAATGGCAGTATTAATGCTAGTCACCGGTTTCCAGTTGTGCTTGGTTATAATGACAACAAATGGTGTTTGACCTTAGAATCAGCTGATGATAGTACAGTAACAATGCTTTTACATATTTGTGTTTTAATACGTCTAGCTGTTTCTCCAATATAGCGTTAGTAAGGGAGTAGAGGGGAGCGAGCTGATCTAGTGATTAGAGCGCATGACTTCGGTTCCAGAGGTCCCGGGTTCAAATCCCACCAAATCACCTCTTACTGTATTAACCATTTAGAAATTTAATGATTTCGATCCTCCTAGGCTCTTGCAGGTGCTCTACACTACTTAAAGCTAGACGTGGTCATGGCATTATCATTTAGATAAAATCCTTATTTGGTGATTGAACCCGGTACCTCATGTACCGAAGTCCCGCACTCCCCACTACACCCACCCCCGAAATATTCTTGCTACAACCACGTAAAGGTCACTTCACCCCACCTCCTCAAGCATTACAGGGTGTCCTAGAAGCTGCGTGTCCAGCAAGCGGTCACTCATTGTATGATAACGAGAGAAACCGCGGACCTCGCTGATAAGATGGTATCAGTTGTAGGAGGTATTTGCATTTTATCCTCCATCGCAGGCTTTGTCCACTCACAATGGAGTGATTACCCCGGAGGTCACGAACACTGGACAAGACGAATTCGGTCTATGGGAAACTTGCAAAACTCCAAGTGTAGGCTACGATATAGGTGGTCTAGTATAACACTGAAGACATTG